TGTTTCTCCCAATTCAATATTTTTGTAGGAAGCAAGAGCTGCTGAGAGGAGAAAGCAAGAGGAGTACATTAAGCAAATTGAGGTTTGTTTCTATGATTGAATGATAAATTCTCCCAGATCGAGTCTGAAAATTTTTACTTTTATCTTGATTTGTTTAATTGCTATTATCTTTGTTATATAAATAATTTATGTTTTTATTATTTTTACTAATTTCCCTTGAGTAGATTCATGTGTATGCATGTTTTTCATTTTATCCATCGTCTGGTCTGCTTTGGGTTGTTTATCTTAATTAGGTATGTGTTGAGGATGATGTTTGTTACATTTAATTTTTTTCTCTTAAGTTTACTGTGATGAATTACATTTAGTATTGATCAACTCATTAAAGCCTTTTCTTTCCCCTGGTTATTTAGTGATGGATGTTGTGACTATCTAGCAATTATCTTTCTTAGTTTCATTAAATGTTATACAAATTTTAAAATTCCAATTTTCTGTCCATTTTGCAGAAGGAATGGGCTGAAGCTAAGAAGGAGTTACAGGAAGAGAGGGACAACGTTCGGAACCTCACTTCTGACCGTGAACAGACATTGAAAAATGCCATGAAGCAGGTTGAAGAAATGGGGAAAGAATTGACTAACGCCTTTCAAGCTGTTGCAGCTGCTGAATCTAAGGCTGCTGTAGCTGAGGTCACCACTTGTCTCTTATTCCGATGCTTTCTGGAGCGGCCTCTATATTTCCTTTGAGCTCCTTTTTTTCCCCAAAGAATAGAACATATAAATATTCTTCTGATGGAACTTTTTGTTTGGTTATCTATTTCCTCCTGAAATTAGGCAAGACTTTCTGATTTGGAGAAGAAGATTAAATCTTCAGATGCTAAGGTACATGTTGTGATTATTTTCTGTACTTATGGCATCTTTGCTATTATTTACTTTGTAGTCTACGTATGCCATTGAAGAATTATATTTTTCTTGTGAATGGTATTTCTTTAACTGATCTTTTTACTCCGCACTTCTTTTGTGGTACAGGTCATTGATATGGGTGGTAGCGATGGGCGCAATTCTCTTCCAACTAATGATGTTAGTGTTTCTTATATAACATCTACTTCCTCTTTAGATATATATGTTTCTTCATGTTCTTTAATGATGTTAGTGTTCTTTTGTATAGGGGCGACCCCCTTGGTGTCATATACGTAATATATATGCCTTTTTTATCTCAAAAAAAAAATAATAATAATTATGCCCCTCTCATTATTTTGGAAGTTACGTTGACTAGTGGTGATAGGGAGTATCTCTAGATCAGAGTGGGACAGGGTGCTGAACAAAACAATTTTACACTTCCTTAAAATATGCTCCTTCCAAATTCTTTATAGGAATGGTCCTCTGCCAAAAGTTAAATCATGAAAAGAATTTTAAAGTGAACCTTTCGGTATGATAGCTCCATTTTTAAATACTCAATGGGGTATTTGGTTCTTTAGTGGTTGTGCTAAAATTTTCTGAAGTGTCTTTCAGTCGACATATCCTTTTCTAGACAATCATTATATCATCTCATTCCACAATTTTTCTGCATTCATTGATGTTTATGCCTCTTAATTGCCAGTGTTGTTAGAACTGTAAATCATGTTACTGTTAGGGAATAACTTCTATTTCAATATAGTCTTCTCCTATATAGTTTCCTCCTCATATGTCTATTTTTTGAAGTTTAGTCTTCCTATTTTTGGTACAAGTATGTCTATAAATACCATGGCCTATTTCTATCGTATAATTTCATATTTTTCAGTTCTTTCATTTCACAAATTGCTATCAGTCGAAATTTTTATAAATTGAAGTATAAAAACCAAAGCAGTATAATTCTTGGAACACTTTCAGATTGCCTTTAATAACATGTAAACGTGGGCAGAACATTTCCATCCTATATCTCCTACATATAACCATGTCACTACAAACCGATAACTTGTGTAGGAGCAGCATCACTCAAATTGTCTTCAGTCAAAAGCCCAACCGTCTCCAATTATCTCAAGTCAGTTTGTGGACCACACACACTAGCCATCCATGAGTAGTCATCACATGAATCTGGCCTATACCTAATTTTAAGTAAATTCTAGTTTATCTTAGAAGAACAAGGAAAAATGACCAAATTTGTGTTAATTTTGGCTGGAGGAAGGGACTAGTTGTCTCTCAAAATTTGTGAACCTTGTTTTTGTTCAAGTGGAATTAGGGCTAGTTGTCTAAAAGTTGTGGTCAATGGAGTTTGTCGCCAAGGCGTAGGTTATTTATCACATGAAGTTGTGAATCATTAGAGATTGACATTCAGGAGGAGAAAAGACTAGTTGCTTTGTGAAGTAAACTCATTAATAAGTTTGTTGAAGCTTGAAAATGGTAATAATTTGTTACAGGTTTGCATTGTTATTCAGCAACATTCATTGTTAGTGACTAATTCCTCAATGTTCATAAGTTAGTGACAAGTCGTTTGTCAAAATTTTTCCCTATGCAAGTGATAGTTGCCAACGTCATCATTGTTGGATCAGGTTTGGTTGTGTTCATCAAAAAGTTGTTCATCATTCTTTGATTGAGCTGTTCTTCAAGTCTTTGATTAGGCTTGCTACAAGAGGTGGTTGATGAATTGTTCAGTTTCTGTTTTGCTGGAAAGTTACAGGCTCTGTCACCCCCTTCACCCCTGATGTAGCAGTAATAAGACTTAGCAGAAAACACACCATTTTGATTTAGCCTCCATTTCAAACAGTCAGCAGAATTGTTCAGTTTCTGCACTTCCAGAATACATAACAAATTCTGGTAATTCTAGATTTCCCAATCATTCAAATTTCCGCAAACATTCACTTCCCAACACCTGATGCCATTGTGCTCCCTGTACGCCTCCTTGACCACCATATTTCTAGATTGGGCTATCTCAAATAGTTTTTTAGTGCATTTCTGTTAATCCGTTGGTAGTTTTGAAGTGAATCTCTTCATTTAGGATAGAGCTTGTTTGAATAGTATTTCCAGTATCTTTATAGCCTTCAAGTGTCAAATTCTCAAGATGAGGAATCTCAAACAGGATTTTAGTCATCAATTCTATAGTAGGCAGTCAATCAACTTTTTCCGGTCTGAATAGGGACAGTCATCTCATTCACCACAATCTATTTGGTTAAGTCAGCGATTGAAATCAAAGCAAGGTCCATGAAGTTAATAAAGTTGTGTGGTCAGCAGGTCAATCCTTCGGTCTAGGGATAGGTTCTCAAGGAGTTAATTGATATCTGGAACGAGTTCCCCTTCCTTTATATTTAAGCGAATGTGTCCCGAACCTTGAAAAAGGATCTCAAACAGTATTTCTTTTGTATTTAGGATATTAGTTGCTCGTACTGCTCCTCTATGTTATCTTCTTAGCTGTTGTTTGTTATATAACTTGTTACTGAATTACATCTTATTTACTATTTATTTCTTGATTTTATTTTTGAGTTATTAGACATGATAAACTAAGTTTACCTCAATGATGCATCCTTGCTGGGTGGATGCCACACGATGATCTAGTACTGATTTTCCCTCAATAAAATTTAATTTAGTTTTGGAAATTACATCTTAATTACTATTTATTTCTTTAATTTGTTTTTTGAGTTATTAAACATAATGAGCTAAGTTTACCTAAATGCTTCATCCTTGCTAGGCGGGTGCCTCCGTGCTCTAGTACTAGTCTGCCTCGATAAAATGTTATTGACTTTTTGATATCTAAGCATGATTGTGCATAGCTTCTCACTAGGCCCATGATTGTATTGATCTTTCTCATTCTTTTTTTGTTCCTTAAGAAAAAGAAGAGTCCTCTCAAGACTATTGACGTCATTATGCGGATAACTCTAGGTACTTTAACCTTATACTGTGATTTGTTATTTTCATAATTGTGTTAGGTCGTTATGGAATTTCATATTGCAAAGAAAGAAATTATAAAATTAAAGGAAGAAGCTGAAGCTAACAGGAATCACATGCTGCAGGTGATTGTCATGAAACCTATGTTGCTTATCATTTCAATTATTTTTAGCAAAATTTGTTAACTGAATTGGGATTTGCAGTATAAAAGCATTGCACAGGTGAATGAAACAGCGTTGAAGCAGATGGAATCTGCACATGGAAACTTCAAAATTGAGGTATTATTGATGGCATCTGTGTGAAATGAGATCCAGAAATATGTCAACTTCTCCCCTTTATTCTACTTTCTTGTTTGCAGACTGAAAAGTTACAGAAATCATTGGAGGCAGAGCTTCTTTCATTAAAGGAGAGAGTTTCTGAACTTGAAAATGATTGTAGTCTGAAGTCTGAGCAGCTAGCCTCTGCTGCTGCAGAAAAGGAAGAGGCTATTGCTTCTGCTTTAGCTGAAATTACACATTTGAAGCAAGAAACCTTAACTAAAATGTGAGATATGAGATTGATATGTGGATTTTGATCTTATAGTTATTTTGGTTGCTAATTTTCTTTTCTGTGCAAGTAGTTCCCAGATTGCAACTATGGAAATTCAGATTTCAGCTCTAAAGGATGACTTGGAGAAGGAGCATGGGAGATGGCGAACTGCTCAGGCAAATTATGAGAGACAGGTTACTTTCTTTTCTTCAAATGAGTTTCACGCATACACATGATACAATAGTTGCATTTAAAGGGAGTTGATTAAATGAATTCATTTTTTGTTTAAACATTTTCATTATTGCTTAATATTCTCGTGATCTTTGACTTCAACTTATCTGTGTAGTTTCATTAACTTTGTCACGTAGGTCCTCATGGGTGAATTTTCATTCTTGGGAGCATATGCATTTATATACTTAACCAAATTTTAGGTTCATTTTTCCATCTAACCTATGCCTACCGAAGCTTTAGTGACAACTAAGAAATTTTCAAATACACAGTTGTTTTATTTGCACTTCTTTTGGAAACATTTCCATAGAGATTTCTTACATGGGAAATATTGTGGGTATAAATAACTTCATAATGGTAAAAGAACATGGTACCTTTCTAGATGTCCCTATTTGTTTATGTAGTATTCTATAGCTTACTTGTAAGTACATATTTTCAACGCTATGCATGAACTGACTTATTACATTCACTGTATGGGCAGTATACAATGTTGCGTGTGACAACTATATTAATTTTTCAATTATTCTCTAATACATTTTCTTATTTACTAGTATATCCGCTTCTGCTAGTTCGAATTTATGATTGGGATAGATAGAAATACTAGTTGGTTTATATATTAACTTGCCAGTATCCCTTAATAAGTCATGGATGTGTTTCTGTTATAAGATGAAGATTCCTTATTTTGAGCGAACAATTTTAATTATATGGAAATACTTTAACTTTCCTAACTTGTTGATCTCAAACTTTTTGGCAAGCATCGTATGAGTATCAGTTTTTCTTTTTGATTGTCCCTTATAACAATCATATCAACATATATTGAGAGATCTGTAACTTCTTGGAATCTGAGTGCTTGATAAATAGGGTGTGTTTTTCTTTGCCTTGCTTATATCCCAAACATATCATGAACTTTACAAATTTGTAAAACCATGCTCTAGGGGATTACTTGAGTTTGTGTGGTGCCTTCTTCAATTTACATACTTTATTTATTTTTGCCTCTTTTATAAATTTTGGTGGAATTTCCATATAAACTTCTTTTAGATTTATGTGCAAGAAAACATTCTTTACACCAAGTGGTTGTAGTTTTCAATCTAAGTTAGCAGTTAAGAACAACAAGTTTCAAACTGTATTCATCTTAGCAACTAGTATGAATGTTTTTTGATAGTCTATTTCATAGATGTGGATATGGGTTTTGGCTACTAGTCTCACTTTCTACCTTTAGATTGTCCTATTTGTTTTGTATTTTATTTTGAACAACCACTTGCACCCCACATGTTTCTTTTCTTTGGGCAAGTCCACCATTTCCCATGTCTTTTTTTTTTTTTTGAAAGAAATGTATAGAGATTGTATTAATGATAGGTGCCAAGGGGGCACCACCCATGTACAAAGTTTGCATATCGATAAGTATATCTACAATAGAAGCAAAATCAACATTACTATCAATATCATGCTCAAGTATGATAGAGCCAAAATAGTGAAACCAATTGTCTTTTCAAATGTTGAATTCTATTTCTTTCCCGTCAAAAGCATGCTTGTTTCTTTCCTTCCAAATGACCCAAAATATTGTGAGTGCGATGAGTTTAAAGAGCTTGTTTCTTTTACTAAGACCTTCCCAAGCAAGTAGTTCCCCAGAAACTGTGTTTGCCATGACCCAAGAAAGTCCCTATAGGCCAAGAACCATCACCCAAAGTTTGTGAGAGAAAGGGCACCAAAGAAGAAGATGATTACACGATTCCAATCCCATTTTACAGAGGTAGTATTTGTTTGTGATGGGAATTCCTCTTTTCATAAGATTATTCGGGGTGAGAATTTTCTCTTTGGCAGCTTCCCATGCGAAAAAAAAGATTCTGGGCAGGGCTCCAGATTTCCAAATGATTTTAGTTGGGAATTTCAATTGATTACTGTTAATCTGACCCTCCAGGAAATCATAGAAAGAGCTGACAGTGAAATTGCCACTATTTTTGTGTTTCCAGCGCAGCTTGTCTTCATGATTATTAATTTGAACGTGCAATAAACCTAGAAGTAAGGCTTCATATTCTTCAATTTTTCAGTCCTGTAGATTTCTCATTGCTGTAATGTTCCATGTGTTAAGATTACCTGGAGTGACAACATCACCAATGAGAGCATTTTTGAAGCTAGAGATGGCATAAATCTGTGGGAATCTGTCTTTTAGAGTCGTTGTTCCGCACCAGGTGTCATTCCAAAATTGAATTTTGTTGCCTTTGCCAATAATCCATTCAGTGCAGTCAAGGAACACCGAACTGATGCTCATGATGTTCCTTCATAGACTTCTACCATAGTTGTGTTTTTTAATGTGTGAAAGGTTCCTTTAATCATCAGCGAACCATTGACAATCAATAATCTTTTTCCAGAGGCTTTCTTTGTCATTCTAATATCTCCATATCCATTTTCCAAGGAGTGCTTTGTTTAAGTTAACGAGGGATCTCAAGCCCAAACTGCCATCACTAACTGGTTTTTTGACTTCATCCAGCTAACAAGGGGATATTTTTTCCATTCGTTATCCACATCTCCCCATAAGAAATTGCATTGAATTGTTTCTAGCTTTTTTGCCACATTGGATGGGATATTGAGCACCAAAAGATTGTAGATAGACAAGTTGGAGAGAGTGCTTTTGATGAGAGTAAGCCGACCCCCTTTAGATAAAAATTTGTTTTTCCAAGTGGCCAATCTGTTTTGAATCATGTCTACAACAGGGTCCCAAATCTTACTGTCATTATATTTTGCACCCTGCGGTACTTCGAGATAGGTGATAGGCAGATGTGAGAATTTGCAGCCAAGAGTAGTACTAAGGGAACTAACATCATCATCCTGAGCACCCAAAATAACCAATTTAGACTTATGTAGGTTTATTTTTAATCCAGATACAGCTTGAAAACAAGATAAAATGCATCTCAGAAAAATAAGTGACCAAACTCTGGCTGACAGAAGATAATGTTTCCGTCAGTGAAAAATAAGTGAGATATCTCAGTTGTTTTGTTTCTGTTGCCGATGGTAATACCTTTAAGCATATGCAGGTCCTTTGCTTTCTCAATAAGTTTGTGTAAGGCCTCTATAACAATGATGAAGAGAAGCGGGGAGAGTGGCTCCCCCTGCCTCAAACCTCTGGAAGTAGTAAAAAATGAGGAAGGTCCGCCATTAACCAAAACCGCGAAACTGGAGGTTGTGATGCAAAATCTGATCCAGTTTCTCCATTTCTGTCCAAAACCCATTCTTTGAAACATGTAGTCAATAAAATCCCAGTTAACATGATCAAATGTTTTTTCCATATTAAGCTTGCAAAGAACACCTTTCTTGTTGTGTCTTGTGGCCTCATCAACAGTCTTATTAGCAATCAAAATGGCATTGGATATTTGTTGCCCATAAACAAAAGCATGTTGGTAGTTACTAATGATTTTGTTAAGCACTATAGAGAGCCTTTTTGCAAGAACTTTAGATAACAGTTTGTAGATATACCCAATGAGACTAATAGGCTGGAAGTCATTAATGTTCTCCGGGTTGACTCTTTTCGAAATCATAATGAGAAATGTGGAATTGAGAGATCTCACAAAGGTGCTATGATTGTGTGAGTCATTGAAAAATTCAATAATGTCACATTTTATTGTATCCCAAAAAGTTTGGAGGAATTTGAAGTTGAAACCATCCGGACCGGGGGCTTTATCCTCGTCACATTCCCGAAGGCAATCCAAAATTTCTCTCAGTAAATTTTTTCTCTAAGTGCTCCTTGTCTTGATCAGAAACGATGTTAAAAGATAGATTGTCCAATTTAGTCTGTGATCATGCTGTTCAGTGTATAAATTCTGGAAATGGATTTTTGCTCCTTCCCTGAGGGCCTCATTACCTTTAATTCTGTTGTTTCCAATGGTGAGCTCCTCCACCATTTCGCATGTCTTGTTCTTCTCTAGTGTTTGCATTTCAACATTAATGCATTTTTGTTTCCTCACTAGTTAAAGCTCCATATAGTATATTAGGTATAGATAATGCACTTAGAACTATTTCTTTGTGAGACGGGGAACATTTTTGAAATTATACAAAACACGAGATCGGATAGTGGATGCTTAGTGCATTCTCTCGTTCCTTTTCTGAATGCAATATTAGAGAGTAAAGATTTCTCAAAGCTTACTTCATTCCAAAGCATCCGATTTGGATTCAGGAACTTTCTTTGGATCAGAATCCAAGTTTTTCCTTCTTAAGTACACTTGAGAAAACTGTGGGTCCTATATGGTTGAGGATTCTAGTTCATTTTTCTGGTTTTGGTTTTCTAGTGGTATGTATTCATGTGTATCTTGTGTTGCTATGTGTTCAGGTATATCTTCTGGTCTCTGGTTTTGTGATGTGGTGGTTAGTATTTGATAGGCTGTAGTATTTAAGGATAGGGGAATATCAAATAGGAAGTGGTCCTTCTTATCTTGCAATATCCTCTTTTGCTGAAGATAAGGTTTATTAGAAGACTTAGTTTTTACAAATGTAACATCAGTGCATACATAGAATTTTTATTGGAAGAATGGTAACATTAATTTTTGGAAGAATGGTAACATTAATTTCCTCTTTGTATATGTGAGTACTCCACAAACACATAGTTAATGGTCCTACTGTCAAGTTTCCTTCATTAAGATTGATGCATATGAACAGAGGCAACACAATCGAAGCTTGAGGAATAAAGTTATTGGTGATTTGGACTTCAGGAGAAAAAGGTAGCTAAAACTTCCATAAGACTGCGAAAGTCTATTAATGAGATGGTAACATGCTGATAAGATTGGCTGCAATCAAAACAGCTTCCCCCAGATTGTGTTCAGGCACATGGTTTTAAGACAAGAAAGCAGAGGAGGCCAATCAGGTTGTTTTTCCTTTTTGTCTCTTCATTTTGTTGAGTATAGACACAGAAAGACTCATGAATGACCCATTCATTTTGAAAAGAAGAAAGATACTATTTGATTAAAGTAGTCGCAGGCATTATCGGTTAGAAAACATTTGATTTTTATTCTAAACTGGGTTTTGATCACGTTGTAAATTGAAGAATAATGTGACTAATCTTAGATTTGGATTTTAGCAAGAAAACCAGGCTAGTCTAGTGCAGTCATCGATAAAAGAAATGAACCTTCAAGCCCTAGAAATATCATTGTGGGCCAAATTAAAAGGAACATTTGCTTCTGTTATCACTCGAGGAAAAATTTACACGTTTGTATTATGTTAATTCACATACATCACAGTAATTGGAATCCGAAAATAAAGAGGGAAGCACAACATTAAGGGTGGAGAATGAGGGGTAACTTAACCTTATGCTATAAAGTCATATCTTATCGAGTGCTGGTAGAAAAGGTAGTCCGTGGTATTTTAGGTACATCCAGGAAGTGTGACCCGTTTCGAGTCTTAGTCCGTTCAATCATCTTCCTCAAATTACTATCTTAGATTCACAAAAGGAAGAAGAAAAAATCACTTTACAATTGAGGTTTTAGGACAACTTAGTTACTGATAGTAGCTTGGTGCATAATTTAGGGAAATGAAATATATCGGTAAGTAGAAAGTGAATGCTAAGTTTTATAGTTCCAATTCCCGTTATTGTGGTTAATGAAACCATCATCAGCAACAACTTTCATACTGGGGGGAGTAGGTGTCAAAAGATGGAGTGGAATTGGTCATGTGATCTGTAACATCTGAGTCTACAATCCATGATAATATAATGACTTATTTAAGGTACTTAAATCATGTTGCATAAAAAACATACCTGAATGGGCCAAATATCAGTACCTTGCATTGTAACTTGCAATTAAGACTGATTAAATAGAGCGAAATAAGAGCAAAATTAGGAATTACCATGCTAGAACATAACTTGTTTGGACAAGCTGTTCATGGAGGAGCAGTGCAGCTGTGGGTTGTGCGCAGAAGATAGATGCACAATAGAAGGGTTGCGCAGCTCTCTACTCGTAGTTGAACTGAAGGTGGCTGCTGGAGTTGATGGTGCAGTAACGGGGCAAAAGCAGGGGCTCCACGCACGAAACAAAGCACACGAAACAGGGCTGTGTGCAAAAAACAGAGCATGGAAGACGGGGCTGAAACAAAAGAAAACAGGAGCTGTGCATGCGAAGCAGAGCATGTGAAACAGGACAGACAGCACGCATCTGAGCAGAGCAAAAATAGAGTGTGCGGCTGACGAGAGCAAAAAGCAGAGCACCGCTGGAGGGATCACGCAGCTGGGTGGAGCAGAAGCGTCCCCGGTTGTGGCTGTGCTTGGCTGCAGCTGAACAGGGGCTGCGCTTTGCTGGTGCAGAGTTGAACAGAAGTGGAACTGAGGTTGTGGCGCAGCTATGAATGCTGGCCTTTTTTAGGAACTTTTTTGTTATTTTGGCAATGAAAGCAGACTAAGAATTGTTTAAGAGGTTTGCTGTTTTCTTCATAAAGCTGTAGTGCCATATTAGATAGTTGAATGTGTATCTTATTGAATATTATGACTTTATATATACAGGTTTTTTAAGAATGGAAAAAAAAGACAATAATTAAATTTTTACCTTAATGCCCGTTAACCCAATTAGATGTAGTACACTCTTTAACATTGTAATTACTTGGTATATTTTACTCTAATGCCCTTTAACCTAATTACATATAGTACACTCTTTAATACTTTTCTCTTTGAGACAGTTGTAGAAATTTTGTACATGTGATGCACCATGTTTTCTTGAAATGTTTCTTTGTCTCTCCAACAGAAAAGATTAGTTGTTGACATTTTCTCTCTCCAAAACAAAAGGAAGATAATGTCATTCACATCATCAGTTTAGTGATGACAGCTATTGCTTGTTGGAGACACTGATCTAATTTTTCTTTAAATTGGCACAGGTTATTCTACAGTCTGAGACCATTCAGGAGTTGACGAAAACATCACAAGCTTTGGCTTCTCTGCAGGACGAAGCATCCGAGCTGCGTAAATTAGCTGATATGCTCAGAAATGAAAATGTAACTTCTTTTTCTTTTTTTGTGAAATATCATTTTGCTACTTCTGTTTCTTATTCTGTATTTTCTTCTATTCAATACTTCCTCTTATTGATTACTCAGAAATGAATAATTATACAAAGTTGCAGCATTCATGAATATCTACATAATTTCTTATATTCTCGATAACCTTTTGCAAGTCGGTTTATTTTTGCTTGATTTTTTCAGATCTAATATGTATATTTTGTGCTTTACAGAGTGAACTTAAGGCCAAATGGGAAACAGAAAAATCAATCCTAGAGGAAGCAAAGAATGAAGCTGAGAAGAAGTATGATGAAATTAATGAACAGGTAAATACTGGTGATGCTTCCACAAGAAATCGGATTCAGTCTTCATGACAACATTGATTGACAGAGAAAATGAAGGGGAGTTGACTTCAAAAATTCATTTCATAGACTTAAGTGAAAACTTATTATGTGGTAGAAAATAACTTCAAACATTTGTTAAGATATAAAAAAGAAATATTTGAATGGTGCAGTAAGTTAATTTATTTTACACAAGTAATAGGGGTAAAAAGATTTTAGTCCCGGAAAGTAATGATATCTTGTTATACAGCTTTAACGAATTCTAATGAAACAAGCCTATGAAGAAACAGCAACGAAATAATGCCTCGAAATTAACTATGATCTTTTTCGCTTCTAGTTATATTTTTCTTGTTGTTTCTCATTCTGTGGATGATAA